TATATAGGTCGTCCTACGTACGACTACATATATATATATATATATATATATATATATATATATCATCGTGTACAAATGTGCTCAGGCCGTCCCCTCGCCTTAGCCACGGCCGTATGTACTAGAACAAACGCTCTCACGAAAATCAGTATATATCTCCTAACTTCTATTCCCATCACGTTCACATGAATATACCGATCTACTTTCCACATTCCGAGACTGTGCGATGATCGCGATGTAAAACACATCAGGTATAGACCCATATACCCCTCACGCACTATCCACTTAACAATATTTTCGAACAAGCATCCCCCCCCCAAAAAAAATTCCAAAAACTTGCTTTCCAGATCTCTTCTCCAAAATCAAACCATTCCCGCATATAAACAAAGACCTACTTTCCAGATTCTGCACCCTTGTAGTGATCGCAGTATATGTACACATCAGGTATGAACGTGTTCAGCAGGCCCCTGGCCTTATCCACGACTCTATTGGCCGTCTGTGGAGACATACGCGTTGAGTATACCGTTCCTCGGATCCGTTTAACCATCCCAGGATCACCCCACTGAAGCGGGGTGAGAGCCTTGACAACCGGACATTGGAAGTTAACCTCACCCCCACCCAGCGGAGGAGCCCCTCGAGCATTTACTTTGAGCACAACGCTGTCGTCGACGCCAAAGCGTTTCAGCAATGGTAGGGATACGGTGCGCAGGATGTCGACACTGGGGTCGATGTCGTCGTTCGTTATACCTGAAGCAAACGTTTGTGTGTGCCATGTTTTAGTGTGTATATATGTAATTAAGTTTGTGAGTGTCGGTAGTCTGGTCGATGTCATAGTTGAAACTACTTGAGCACACGAGTGAGTGATATATTTTAGTGTGTTTGTGTATAGGGTTCTGAGTGTAGTAATCGAATCGATCGTCGTTTTTTATACCTGAACAAACGAGTCTGTATACGTATATAGGTTTGTGAATGTAGAAATCTGAGTGTAAAAATCGGAGTATTTTGCATTTTGTGTATATATTTGTATTCTAATATGTATACGTGTATGTATATATATTTGTGTACGCATGTGTATGTATACCGACCCCGAATACGTCGAAAGAAAGAAAAAGTGTATGTGTGAGTGTGTATGTATAGATGCTAAGACAAATACATACCCAAATGTATATGTACATGTATATGTATATGTATAAGTACATACGTATACAAGTACTTGTACGTACATTCACCGACATCACAACAAACATACCAGTAAGAGTGAGGTTCAAGTCTGATTTGGCGAAGGGTGCCAAGGCAATGATGGGCTCGAGAAAGTATCCGATAGCTCTGCTGGTCCCACAGTCGTGTTCGATCTTGCGTCTAATAGACAGCACTCCTGGGCGGAAAAGCAGGCTTGTGCCCGTATAGCCGATTTCGATTAAACTACCATTAGTTAATTTATCCATGAGTCGGAGGAACGTCACTTCATAGTCTGCGAGAGTGTCGTATGATAAAACAAAACCAGGTGTGAGATGACATGCATGGCTTCATAAACAAGCTTATTACCAGGAACTTCTATTAAACAATAACATCGCAAAGTTACCATTCTCTTATGGCTTGGCTTCTATTTGTGTGTTAGGCTTTTGCATTCTACGCAATGTCCACTTCAGTATCTAGCCATACAAACAGTATCAGTAGTATCTCATAATAATAAAAACGATTTCCGCCTACACAAAAAAACATATATACAAACACACACACATATATATATATATATATATATATATATATTATATGCGTGTGTGTGTTTGTTTGTATGTATGTATGTATATATATATATATGTATACGCATGTATGTATATATGTGAGTGTGTATCTGTATATATATATATATATATATATATATATATTTATATATATATATATATATATATA